TTGTAGGCTGCACCACACCCAGTGTCCATACTCACTGTCAACCTGCAAGGTGTTGGACTGAAGCTGTGGGTGAAGTCGACCAAGTGACAAACTTTCACTGAGATTCTTGTTAAGTGTTAAAACATTTACCAAAACCTGCAAGAGAACAAAATATCCTCAATAATAAAAATCAAGGATGAGAATAGGAGAAGCCAACTTCCTGAGCATCCCCCGAACTGCTGGTTCCTACATCTGCAAATGCAGCAGGCAAGGAAGATTTTGACGGATTTACCAAACTGCATGAATGACTACAGGGTTGGCACACACAGACCTCCTTGAAACATGGGGCTGTGTGGTGTTGGTGGGACAGCAGCACATTTTCAGGATTGCATGGGCTTTTTGTCACATAGTTCCTACTGAACTAGCTGAGTTGTGTGTCTGGAACATGATGTAATCTCTAAATAAGTGTTTGTTACAGCCAAAAGCTCAGCACGTGACTTCTCCACACAAAGCACTAGGAAGGAATGCTTGGCTTTGTGTTTGCTCTCAATAATGCTTTCCAAAAGGTAAGGGAACTGGGAGCTGCTCTTGTGCCTTTCTTTACAGCAATTCATTACTGTTGTGCATGCAATCAAGCTATTGGCAAGTCCTTCACCATGCTGCAAACCATAAATTAAGAGGAGCTGCCTAATTTATAGCAAGTGCTGAGCAGGGAGGAACTCAGTTGGGAATGCACTAAAAGGAGCTTTTCATAGGGAAAAGGGTTAAGGGCTGCCAGTTTCATGCAATTCTCTGAGTACAAAATACTCCTTTTTTTCTCAATGACCCTCAAGATGAGCTTTGAACAGGTATTAGAATGACAAAACCATTACAGATTATGCCAAAATGCTTCTCCTCTACAACTATGAGTGGTGCCACCAGGAAAAGTGAAAGAGAAGTAGCTCTCAGAGATTTGAAACTGGTGACAGCAAAGACTGAACTGGTAATAATCCCATGGCCACCAGCTTTGACAAAGCCTGGGACCATCAGGAAGGATTGTGGGAGGGGACCCTACTCAGCCTTGAGCTCAGCAGCTGCTCTGAGGACCCAGCACTGACCTGGACAATGCTGCTCAAGGCTCTGTCCCCATTGTTGGCTCCCAGGCACAGGTAGGTCCCACACATGCCCTCGGAAGGCCTCACGATGGTGGGCAGCAGGAAGGACAGGGGCCGCTTCCGAGGCTGAACGAGATTCTGCTGCAGTGGAAGACAAGACACCCCAAAAAATGTCACCAAGCTGACTCATACACAGAATACAGAGCCAGTCACCCACCTCTAAAGCACCAACCCAGCAGAACACGTGAATTCATAGAGGCCTTAATGGATGGAGTGCCTCATTCTGGAGGCCATCTCTGCCCACAGGGAAGACAAGAAGGTGATCAGGAGTAGCCAGCATGGGTTCACTGAAGGTAAGTCATGTTTGACCAACTTGACTACAATGAACCAACTGCCTTGATGGATGAAGGGAGAGCAGTGGACACTGTCTACCTTGACTTCAGCAAGGCTTTGGGTACTGTGTCCCACAGCATCCTCCTCGGAAAACTTCAGAAGTGTGGGTTGGACGAGTGGACAGCAAAGTGCATTGGGAACTGAGTGGCAGATCCCAGAGTTGTGATCAGTGGCACAGGGTCTAGTTGGAGGCTGCCACTAGTGGTGTCCCCAGCGTTCTGTACTGGGCCCAGTATTGTTCAACTCATTCATCAAAGACCTAGCTAAGGAGACAGAGCTGCCTTCTCAGCAAGTTCCTGATGATCAAGTTCCTGAAGACCAAGTGCAGGTCCTGCACCTGGGGAGGAATAACCCCAAGCACCAGGACAGGTTGGGCACTGACCTGCTGGAGAGCAGCTCTGTGGAGAAGGACCAGGGGGTCCTGATGGTCAACAGGCTGTCCATGAGCCAACAGTGTGCCCTTGGGGCCAAGAAGACCAATCAAATCCTGGGGATAGGAAGAGCATTGCCAGCAGATCAAGGAGGTGATCCTGCCCCTTTGCTCAGCCCTGGTGAGGCCACACCTGGAATATTGTGTCCAGTTCTGGACTCCTCAGTGCAGGAGGGACATGGGTCTCCTGGAGCAGGTCCAATGGAGGGCAACAAAGATGCTGAAGGGACTGGAGTACCTCACTTAGGAGGAAAGGCTGAGGGAGTTGGGCCTGTTCAGTCTTGAGAAGAGAAAATTGAGAGGGACTTCATTAATGTATATAAGTATTTGTGGCCAGAGAATGGATCAGGCTCTGCTCAGTTCTGCAAGCCAATAAAACAAGAGGTAATGGGCAGAAAATGATGCACAGGAAGTTCTACCTGAATGCGAGGAAGAACTTCTTCCCTGTGCAGTCACTGAGAACTGAACAGATGGCCCAGAAAGGTCATGGATTCTCCCTCACTGGAGATGATATTCCAGAACCGTCTGGACACAATCCTGAGCCATGTGCTCTGGAATGGCCTTGCTGGAGCAGGGAGATGGGACCAGTGACTCACTGTGGTCCCTTCCAACCTGACCCATTCTGGGATTCTGTGAATTCAAGTCTACTCTGTTGCTGAAAGTGCATCTGGACTGCAGGGAAAGAAGTAACAGTGATGCTTGAGAAAACTGCATTGTAGCAATAACTGATACACTTGGAACCTTTGGTTTCCTCTCTTTCAGTGTCTCATAGAATGGAAAAGTAGCAGCTTTCTACAGACAGTTGTCTCTCAGTTATTAATAATGCAATAAATACTCTCCGTATTGTGAAGATGAGAATAAAATTGGAGGAAGAAAAAGGTATAGGCAGCCCAAATAAAGACTTTGTCACGGCAGTCATTACCGGTCTGGGAACAGAGTGGTTCGTTGTTTTATTTTGCCAGGAGAAGTCCAACATCTGACTGTTCAGGAGGATTCCAGAGGGTGTTATTATTCCACTGCCAAAGGGACGATTCAAAGAACTGAAAAGAAACACAAATAAATCTTGTAAGAATCAACCCAGAGATTTTTGTACACCTTGAGGCTTTCAGGGCTCCAACTTTCTGTGCTATCTTGGCTTGACAGAGACTCTTTAGTGGTTTGTTAGGGCTGGTTAGATGTGAGGAGCAACAGTTGCCATGTACTTAGCAGCAGGAACCATGTGGTCACTCCCTGTGTTTAAGAATTCCCTTCAGAGTGATGGATCTGTCTCCATGCCCCCATCAGTCCTCAAACAGGACCATCACCTCCTCCCCAGGGAGCAGCTTCAGGCCACTCCAGCCATGTGTGCGCTATGGAATTACACAGAGCAGAGCAGCACCATCCCACACACCTCCACCCCATCCTCCCCATTCCTCTGCTGCAGCACTAACTGGGACAGAGCAGCACAGCTGCTCCGGGTCTGGTCCCCTCCCCCTTCTCCCTGCTGCCACCCCTGAGCACACCGTGGAGGGAAGAAGTGAACCCTTTACCTCACGACGGCGACGATGAAGTCGTCAGGCCCCATGACAAGGACCTGGCTGGCTGCAGGTCCACAGTCCACAGAGAAGTGAGGCATGAGGAGGTCGGATGAGAAGGCCTGGGAGTCATTGATCAGCTGGCGCAGGGAGTTAGCCTCTGATTTACTTCAGCAAGAAGGGAGGGAGAGAGGGAAGCAAGCCATGAGCCTGGGGAGCTGCATGTCTCCTGCTCTCTCAGCAGGGTACAGCAACACAGCTCCTGCAGTGTGTCCCTGGGGGCTGCACTGGGGGCAGGGAGGACTTTGGCTCATGGAAGGAGACAAGATGGCTCACTCTGCACACTGTGGACCCCCAAAGGCTCTGTCTATCCCTGTTTACCCCCAACAGGCATAGACCTGCCCCAAAGGACAAGCGGTGGCACAGAGCAGCCAGGCCGAGCTCTGGCCACCAACCATGGCTGAACCCAGCTCTGAGGTGGGAGGTTGGGCTGAGCCCCCAGGCCTGGCCTCTTCTGCACACCTGGGTGTTCTGCAAGGCCCTGACCCCACGGTGGGGGAGGGAGAGGCCGAAATGGCATGTGATGGCATGCTCATGGGGCTGGCTGGCTGACCTGCTGAGACAGAATGTTTATGTGTGAGAATGTGAGAGGAACCTCCATGCTCCAGCAAACCTGTGTGTGAGGACCTCCCATGACCCATCCCCCAGAACCCCATTGTGATCCTTGTGGAAGAGTGAGCCCTGGGAGGACACTCAAGGACTGCTCTTTCCTCAGTAAAACAGAGGGAGAAAAAGCTCAGGGCAGAGCAAATGCAGGAATGATATCCAACCCACACATCTTGCAAGTGTCACAGTGCCTGTCTGCCTCAGACATACCTCAGCATGCCTTCTGCTGCGTGAGCCACGGACACATCATCAGATGGGTCTCCCAGGTTGCTAGCTAGGCTCAGGGCTATTTTTAGTGTCTAAAGAAAGAAA